AAACTTGCATCGGCTCTCAATCAGAGAACTTTTTTGTTGAAATGCCGACAACACAAGGCCCTGAAGAGGATTTCAATAAAGATCGAAACGTGTGGTGATTAGTGAACGTTAGTCGATGATTATTCGGAGATCGTGAGATTCGGTCTGGTGTGACGTAGGTTTTAGAAAAACCTTTTCATTATCGTGCAACGTTTCGATATTTGTAAATCCCAGGCTCTGAAGATGATCTCAATAAATATCGAAACGTTGGCACGATAAAGAAAATGTTTTTCTAAAACCTACGTCACACCAGACCGAATCTCACGATCTCCGAATAATCTAAACAACAACTTTCAGTTGACCGGTTTACGCTCAAAACAAAAACCGAACACTTGGATTTATTTGTTTATTTTCCATTATAACTAGTATAAAAATTAATAAAGCAACCAGTTGACAAATTTCCTGTGTACCTTTGTAGAGTGTACCTTGTTTTACATTCTTTAGATTAAAAATAAAGAATATCACTTCTATTTCATCCTATCGAGCGAGTTAATTACTTTTTTAAATTGTTTTGCTTGATAAGACAATAAATTGGCTCCTTGGCCGACGACGGACGAAGGATCCCTTACTTACATGCATTTCCTTGGTATGCTGCGCTCAACATCCATGATGGTCTAAAACGGTTTAGGAAGAGAAGAGAAGGTAGTGGTCGACCCCGATGTACGAGGGGTAGAGACGATCGTTGTATTGCTCACGAAACCGCCGTTTAACGGTTTCCTTGATAGGTAGTCAACTTCAAATGGTCCATAATATAAATGTGAGCAGTAACACAGTCATCAGGAGGCTTCGCGAGAATAGCCTAGTCTCTAGACGTCAGGTTCTCTACTACTGGAGAGGCAGATAGTAGAAAGGCGATTACTCGCAAATCAGCACTCGCTTGGATACTTGATCAGTGGGTTGGGTGTGTTCTCTTCACAGATGAGTGTCGGTTTGTTTGTAGCAATGTAGATGACGGGACTCTGTGTAGAGAGACGAGAACTCTGCTTCATGTGCCATGCCCGAAACACAGGTTTTTCAAAGACAGTTCAGTTATAGGGTGGAATCAACGACCATTTCCGTACCGAACTGATTATCATACGGAATGGGTCTTTGACTGCACTAAGGTACATTGAGAAAGTTCTTCTGGAAGGTGTGGTCCTATTCGCTCCCATTTATTGGGGACAAGTTCGTGTTAATGCATCATAATGGTCAAGTGCATGTAGCCCGAGTTGTCATCCATTACATGGAGGATGTAGGGATTGCCTAAATGAATTGGCCAGTGCGTTCTCCTGTCATGAATTCCATAGAATACTTATGGGACAGGGCGAGACCTGTTAGGCATCGTTCGCCTCCTCCAACCAATGTTGAACAGCTTCAAACCTGTCTTGTTGATTCTGCTTAATAAAGGAATTCCGATCGCGTTATTAAGAGCAAAACCAAATAATAAAATTTTAGTTAAATTTTAATATACACTACATGATTTTCCGATATTTTGGTGAATTTTCTTTCAAGCCATCATTATTAAATAATTTTGATTAAAACTCATGAAATTCTGAACTCGTTTAATTTTGTTTACGTTAAAATAAGTATGTCGTAATTAATAAAACGATAAAAATACATATAGTTTAAAATAAACAGCACAATGTACGGTTTTTTGTCTTTGAGTGTATAACTGATCAAACATTACACTTTCAAAATATTTATTCGTTAGGTAGAGGGATAAATTCAATTTTGTAACATATAAGATAGGAAATGCATTTTTTTTATTAATCCTATAGGAAAATAACTTACAATTTCCCAGACTTGAAGGATTAAACAATTCAGATTATTTTCCAATTTCCCGCGCGTTAATTTAAAAATTAGCTCTACACCACTCTGCCAATTTCCGACCACGTTTAAGCCCAGTCTCAATTTCATTTCCGCCCCGATAAAATATTCATCAGAGTTGATAAAGGCGCTTTGGATTTTGTTTTATTCCTGGGCAACTGTCACTTTTTCTAAACATCAACCGTACGGAAAAACTTCACTCGGCCCGAACATTTCTGACTGACGTTCATTTCCATCCAAATTCGTAATGAGATTTTACACTTTCCCATTGTAATAGGAAAAATTCAAATATCTGGTTTTGTTACACTCTCGTATAGTTCTAAAAATAATGGGGTAAATGTCTTGTAGAAATAAATTATGTCTTGTAAACTGAAATTAGAAAACGTGGATCAGAATTACATTAACATCTAAAAACCGGGAAGACCCCCATCCCTCGGCCGAAGAGGATTTAGAGGAGAGCTCAAGCGATTATAAAGTTTGTACGGTCGGATCATTGGCTCAAAAATAATAGAGTTTTAAATATTCAGACCGGTTTGAAAACGGGAATTAGCCCACTCGGGCCATCGTTTCGCCCAAACTCGATTTCTTCATCCCGCCGGGGAGTAACCGGTTTTGAAAATTTAACATCCTCCTGGCAGGAAATTGTTGGAGGGGATTGGTTTTGAAATTGTTTTAATTATTGTATCCGACTGTCGGGATGATGTCGTAGGGAGGGGGATGCATAAGAGGATTTGGACCGAGTTGAGGAAAAGCTTAGCATTAATGCCCTTCAGTCTCACCCCCTTCTTCCAACCCTCTTCCATTTTTTAACCACAACTTATCCGCCGCTTGTTTGCCAACAGGAGGGAAATAATTAACCCCCATGAAAAGTGCTTCCGAAAAATGGGATTTTGATTTACGCCCCACGAATCTCCGTCAGACGTCACAAATTACGTCCAGTTAAAAATTCATTCCATTTCAGTATTTATGTTTTTCTCTGATTTTATTTTTTTATTTTCGTTTCATTTATAATAGAATCAACCAAGCTACATAATAAAAGTTTCAGTTAAAAAATAACAATGTGGATGTAATAATATAACAATTATGTATAATAAAAATAGTATTGTTAATTTCATTATTGCTGATTATAAAATAAATTTATACAATTAAAATACGTTCATTTTCGCTGACAGCAGTACAAAACTTTTTGACGTATGTGTGGTGATTAGTGACCGTTAATCGATAATTATTCAGAAATCGTGAGATGCGGTCTGGTGTGATGTAGGTTTCAGAAAAACATTTTCTTTATCNTGAGAGTTGATATTACTTCTGATGTTGCAAACCTTTGTAAAAAATAAATAAATAAACAAAATAAAAAAATAAATGAAAAATATAAGAATAATGTGTGGTGATTAGTGACCGTTAGTCGATGATTATTCGGAAATCGAGAGATGCGGTCTGGTGTGATGTAGGTTTCAGAAAAACATTTTCTTTATCGTGCCAACGTTTCGATCTTTATTGAGATCATCTTCAGAGCCTAGGATTTACAAACATTGTTTAAATTTAACAAAACATTTTATACAATGCAAAAAAAAATTTTTTTTATATTCAATAAAAGTATTTCTACTCACTGAAAGTGTTTATTTTCTGAGTAACAAGAAGATGATCTCAATAAAGATCGAAACGTTGGCACGATAAAGAAAATGTTTTTCTGAAACCTACATCACACCAGACCGCATCTCACGGCTTTTATTTTGTTATTTTTCAAAATCCTTTGAGTAAATTTTCCTTCAGTAAAAAACGTAATAATTTCTAATAAATTTTAATGCAATTTATAAACAAAATAGAATAAAAATGCTACTGAAAGTAAATACTACAAAATTGGCCATATCCCTATTCATTTTTTAGCAGTTTATTGTTGGTTTTATTGGCCTTATTTTTTATTTTCGTATGCACAAATGTACACAGAGTTGAGCTAAATAAATCAGTAATCAGTATTTATTTTGTTTTCTGTCTATTAGCAAAAAGTTTTGTTAATCTAGACGTGCTATTAGCTAGAAGTGTTTAAAAACAGTGAATCGTTAATTTTCAGCTTCAATCTAAAATTGTGACAAAATTTAGAGTTTGTGTTGCGCAAAAAATTATTTCTCTGGTTATAATTTTTCCAAAATATTGCTTGCTATATATTTTCTCTATTATTGCTCCTATTTAAAAAAAAAGAATCGTTTCTCTGAGATGAAAGGTTTTTGAGAAAAATGGACGGAAAAGTGAAAAATGCAACTTTTCATGAGAAACGTTGTTCTGATCCAGTTCAAATTTTTTCCACCGCTCGATTTACACCATAAGTTAATGGTTAATAGACGTTGTTTTATTTGGGAGATTAGGTTTGAAGCAGAATATATATTAAAAAACTAGTGACTGTCAAACAGTTTAAGGCAAGATACACCAGCAAAATATCATTTGCAACTTTCGATAACATATTTGAAGAGCTTTTAAAGCTTGGAAGCTTATGAGACTGGTTTAATTCTGGGCAAAAAAGGGAGTAGTTTATTTTTAAATGTATTTTTTAGGCTATAAACGGTCACTTTAGCAAATTAATTCAACACTAATTTCAAGGTATAAAACTATAGGCATATTGCTTTCTAGTTCGAAATTTTAGTTAGAATATTAAACATTTCAAAATAATAAATTTTGTGGGTCAGTTAGGTTTGTCGATTTGGGAAACATAGTACATAAAACACCAATCAAACAAAAAAATTGTAAATTTTAATATGTCCAGCATTTTGTTTAAACAAATTTGCATGCCTTTAAATAGAAAAACTTTATAATTCTTAAGATCTGTCTAATGTATATTGATTTGGATGTAAGATGTTTCAAATTTTATTTCATTCTTTGATTAAATTTTTACAGGTGGAAAAGTGAACAAAACTTTCCCTTCCTTTCCAAATTAAAAAATCCTCTATCAAATGTTTTCAAATATGAACTGTTATTTAAATACAAAGCATTATTTTAGCACAGGAAGTAATTTTTAATTTTGGAAGTATCCAGGTTTAATCTCATCAAGACGGTCAGGTCAACTACATTTCCATTTTGGCGTTCGACCTCTTTTGTGTTTATTTAAAAAATACCATATAAAACATTTATATTTGCTTCAAATATCAATTGTTTTGTTGCAGATACGAGTTATTCGTACCACCCTGCGATCCACGACGAGGCTTTCGTGAGGAGGAAGCAAAGGCGAAACAGGACGACGTTCACACTCCAGCAGGTGCGTACATTGCCAAACGCGTTGAAACAGTTTAATAAAATTCTCTAAAGTGGATAAGACAGCGTGAAAAGGTTTTCGACTCCCACGCTCCTCGGCAGCAGGAAACGTTCTATTATAATTCTCAATTTTCTGTTTGGGGACCGTCAACTAGAATCTCCACAGTCTCTTATACTGGAAATTACTCCCTTTAACGGGTTTCATCTTCTTCAATTATCGCATTGTCGGATATCATAGATCATAAACTTCAACTCAATTTACTTTTCAAGTTTTTTTTTTACATTCTGGAAACGTCGGATAAACCGGTTAATTCGTTTCGACCACTTCTGGCGTCCTTAAGTTGAAACTGTGGGTTTCATTTTAAACCACACGCATCCAATAAATGCAGAAGAGCAATTGATTCCTATTGCTAAATAGAAAAAACCATGCATTCTTTAAATAAATCTAATAACAAATCAAATTAGCTTCTGAAAAGCGTATGACACAAAAAACAATATGGACTTCTGGCATATACTATAAAAGCTAAAGAATTGAGCCCCTTCAATGCATTCAAAGCAGAGATTTAAGCCAACTCCATCAATTTTTTTAAGTGCTTGAAAAACTGTACAATCCCTGTATCCTAAATCACTTCCTTCTCATCCTGAAATCCTTTATTATGTCACCTATACTCCTACGCCTTTCCTACTTGCGCCTAGAAATAAAATCCACTAATAAAGCGTTAAGGAATTTATCTAGTAAAGAACTGATCGAAGTCTGTGAATTTAACGCTCTTTTCGTCCTTGCTTGGAATAATCCGGATTGCCCTCCTGGAACTCGACCTAACCCACCTCAAATACTCCATAACGAAACATTCTTTCCGTGGAATCTGATAGACAGCCCAGAAATTGCTCAAGCACACTGCTAAAACTCATCGATTTTACCCCAGACAATTGGGTATCACGGTGAAAAATGGCCTCGGAAAAACTAACTGCAAAAATTGTTTCCCAAACGGATATTTCACATTACCACAACATTCTACAAATAACCATTCGACACAGCCATTCTACCAGATATAGTGATGACACCGTTGCTCAACACTGTTTTTACACAACTACCTTTCACTGTACTCTTTTTCACCAAATTTACCGACAGGCAAAATGTTCCACCCACTTGTAACATAACTTGATTTGTATATATTAATCAACGTTTCACGTTTTTAATTTTTAATAATTTCATCTTTATCGAGAAAAGTTTAAAAAAAGTAAATTGCTAAAAAATGAAAAAAGAAAGACGCAGATAAAATTTATTTTAATTTTGTTTTAGATTTTTAATTAACATTTCAGTCTATCAGTCTGGAAATGCCTCTTTGCTGAAGATTAACCCATTCTTTACGAAGAGTCCTTACAAGAACGTGGAGTGTATCAGGAAGTGATGGAAGTGCTGTTATTTGTCTTTTAAGGTTATGTCATAAATATTCAATGTGGTTAAATTCTGGAAAACGGCCTGGCCAGGCTAAGACCCTGATGTTATGCTGTTGAAGGTACGTTTGTACTATGCGAGTGACATGTGGACGGGCATTATCGTGCATTAGAATAGGATTGTCGCTGATTTCATCTAGGATGGGCAACGCATGATTTTCCAAAATTTCATCCACATAGCGAGTGGCCATCAAAGACCCTCCACGAACAACAGCCAACTCTATGCGACTATTGAAATTCCCGGCCACACCATCACCGAGCTACGTTGAAAAGGTTGGCTCTGCGAAAAATTGCAGGCTTCATACCTTTCATTTCGCCTTCTCGACACTCTTTCACGCCCATCTGGAGATCGTAGAGAAAATCTACAGTCATATGTAAAATGTACAGCAGACCAATCGTCCAAAGACCAATGGCTGTTTCTCGAGCAATGCGACCCGTGCATCTCTGTGTGTTCAGGTCAATTCTGGTCCTCTTATGGGGCGAAAAGCCATCAGTCCATATTTATTTTATCTTCTTCGAGCAGTGCGTTCAGAAATTTGGACACCTCGAACTTCCTGGAGCTGACGAATCGTTTGAACAACAGTAAGGTGCCGGTTTTGAAAAATTCTCTATGTCAAAAAACAGTCATCCTGTGGTGTGGTTTGGGATGTTATTGGGTTTGTGGTCCTTCAATGAATCACACTGTATTATCCGTATAATACAGTGTGATTCATTGAAGGACCACAAACCCAATAACCATCCCTAACCATCCTGTGGTGCGTCCAGAACCGGGCTTTCTATGGTAGCACCCAGTTTCTCAAAAACGTCTAACGGCGTCTCGCAGAGTTTCATAGGGAACCCCGATGGCAATAGCCGGATACCTGATTGATTATGAGTCCATAATCAATAAGTGCCACACCTCGCGCAACTTCCTCAGCACTAAGTGGCATTTTTATGTTTAAAAATTGCAATTAAGAAAGCAAACGTGAAAACTAAACAGTTTATTGCTTCAGAATTCAAATGAGACTGAATAAACATTGTAAATTCCGTAAAAAGTAAACATTGAAAAATCTTTTATCCTTGTTTTGGATTAAGGATTAAGTGTGTTTACCTCTAATTGATATTCCCAATTTAAAACCTCATCGTTATCCGTCTTTAATAATTAACCTCCTTTCCAAAATTGAATAACCCCTAATCACAAATCCAATCCAGAAAATCCCCTTTCTCGACTTCCTTTGAGTTAAATAAAACCGCCAAAGAAAATTTCCCAGGTTTTCCGCGTCCCCTACCCTGTCACAATCATATATAAACAGCAGAATTCACATTCACGTTTCACAATTTCACACAAAACCAATGTGACTCCACAAGAATAGCACAACACTTTTTTGTATGAAATACTTGGGTTAAAATTTATATTTACATCTGTATTGTATTTTTTTCCAGTCAACAATTTTTGTATTTCACCCAGGCCCTGAAGATGACCCGAATAAAAGCCGAAACGCGCCTAAAAAATGGAAAAGGTGTTTTTGTAAACTACCTCATACTTGACCGTTTCTCATGACTCCAAGGAATTCTTTCTTTAACGTAATGACGAAGATAAACTACTTGATAGAAATCGATTGGATATGGTTAATTTTATTATTATTAATTCTGGCTTTCTCCGATGCCGCACTTTGCTGACCTTCTGACAGTCTGGCAGCGTTAATTCATTTTAAACAAAGGTGCTGGTTTCTAAAGAGCAAAGTATGCCCGATAAAAAATGAACTAATGAATTACTTGCACATTAAATATATNTATTTATTTATTTATTTATTTTCAATCCCTAACCATTTGTAATGTCTTGAGATTTCCTGGAACTCGTTGTAAAAACTCTGGTCCTTGAAAAAATCAACTATTTTGATCAGCATTCTCCTATCCTAGCTCATCCATAAATCATACATTGCTGGGCAACAATTTTTAGAAAAATACTTAATGCGACAAAATAAAAATAGAAATATCAATAAAAATCAATAAAACCCATGGCTGTATATTTTATGACTAAATCAACTAAAAAATAATTCACACGTGGTTCTATACTCGTTCGACCTCGTTAATCTGTTAAACAAGGCGATTTTAATTAAAATTCATTGATTTTAGCCAATCTAAGAATCAAATACTCTTTTTTTAATGATATTAATTGTTAACCACCGTGTTACAGCTGGAAGAACTGGAAAACGCCTTCGCTCAGACGCACTATCCGGACGTTTTTACAAGGGAGGATTTAGCCATGAAAATCAACCTGACCGAGGCCAGAGTTCAGGTAAATTGAAACCATCATGACAATCATTGAGTCCGTAGTGCATGAGAATAGCGATCCGGGATCATGAGGAGAAAGTTGGCCGACGAGGGTCAGAAGGTCCCATGGTGTAATGGTTAGCACTCTGGACTTTGAATCCAGCGATCCGAGTTCAAATCTCGGTGGGACCTCTTAATTTTTTTTCCCGTTTTACGTGTTTCCTTCGTTTTATTATTCTTCTGTTAAGTTCTGTTGGTCCTAATTTTCAATATTATTGCGTAGAATTGGAAAACAAAAAATACGACAGATTGTGACAGCTCCTTTTCTTTTTTTAAAGTCAATTCTCTTTAATATAACTAACAGTTTAGTTTCTTCATTAATTATAGTAAAATATTAATATAAAATATCAGGTTACTATTGATTTTTATATTTGTAAACAATTATATTTTATATGTTTATATGATCATATTTTTCAAAAATTTGTTTCAACTACCAATTTCTTGTTTTATTAGCAATGACTGGCACTTTTTTCACTTAAATAAAGCCAATGTGTTTGTATACTGGTCGTACTTCCAAAAAATAAATAAAAATTTAAACAAAGTTTCACGAAATAGGGTATTTTTAGTTTGGACTTGAAATTATTTTCGTTATTACCACATGCTTTAAGAGAAAAAAAAGTCAAATTCCCTTTAATATAATTAACAATTAATGACTTAATTTATTTTTGTAAAAGTTTAATATAACATCAGGTCACAATTGATTTTTATGATTATAAACAAATAATTATAAACAATTGGATGTTAATAATTTTTCAAAAATTGATGATTGCTAAACTTTTCACCTTTCCTATTTTTTTCTTTTTTTTCTCCCCCCTTTTAATTTTTCTTTCTTCCAAAGTCTTGATAATGGCAACATCTGGTTCTTTTCTCACTTAAATTAACGCGAAGTATACTATGTTACACCCCACTGCCAAAAAATACAAAAAAAAATTTAAAAATTTAAAAAAATATTTTTAAAAAGTATGTCGAAATAGGGTGTTTTTTTAGTTTTGAGTTGAAATTATTTTCATTATTACCACATGATTTAAAAAGAAAGTAAATTTCTCTTCAATATAATTAAAAACTTAGTGTCTTATTTAATTATTTTAATATTTAAGTTTAATATAAAATATCAGGTTATTATTGATTTTTAGAAGAATAAGCAATTGGATGTTAATAATTTTTGAAAAATTGATAATGATTGCTATACATTTCACCTTCCTGTTTATTTATTTATATTTTCCAAGGTCTTGTTTACTGCCAACAACTGGTACTTTTCTCCCTGTTCCAACAACAAAAAATAGTACGTCAAAATAGGTTTTTTTTTTTTAGTTTTTACTTGAAATTATTTTCATTTTACCACATGATTTCAAGAGGGTCTGTTCTATTTAATATAACTAACAAAAGAGTTTCTTAATTAATTATAGTAAAATATAATTGTAAAATTTCAGGTCACTATTGATTTTTATAATTATAAACAATTGAATGTTAATAATTTATCAAAAATTGATGATTTAAAAAATAGTTCTTATAACTACCACTTTCTTTTAGTATGGGCAATAACTGGTACTTTTCTCTCTTAAACGAAAAATAGTAAGGCGAAACATTGACAAAAATTAAATAAATAACAATTTAAAAAGTATGACGAAATAGGGTGTGTTTTTTAGTTTTGACTTGAAATTATTTTCATTATCACAACATGATTTTTTAAAAAGTCAGGTTCTCTTTAATATAATTAACAATTAGTTTCTTAATAATTATTTTAATACGTTAATATAAATATCAGGACACTATTGATTTTCAAAATTATAAATATTGGATGTTATAATTTTTGAAAAACTGATAATGATTTTCAAAAAATTATTACTACCATTTTGTTGTTTTATTACATTGCTCACTTAAATGAACCCAAAATATGCACTTGATAGTTAAGCTTTTTAAAACTTTGGCTTGATTTTTTTTTTCTTTAAGTGCAGGGAAACCCTTTACCTATGGTAAATAATAACTTTTATTCCCTCTTTGATGGCTTTAATCCGAATGAAGTTCGACTCCATGTTGTACCGAGAACAAAAAGACTAAACTTATCTATTAATCATTAACTAGTAACTTCCCACTGGATCTTTCATTTTTCTGTAATTAACGTAATACAGTATGATGCTGACGGGCATTTTAGTGTTACTGCAGTGAGTTGGGATCTCGAAGAGTGACTTTCTGAAACGATCATTTATGCTGATGCATTTGGACGTTTATAAACCGTGCCCATCGGAAGTTATTAATTGTTATTATAGAAAGAAGCTTCAACTATTATTCACACATGGTGGACGTTCAAATTCAATGAAGTATTTTTAATTTACTGATTTTTGACGCTGGGTACATGTAAAAAGTTGAGCTGGTAAGAGCTGGTACTCAGATTTTCTGCAGCTGAGGGATGTTGTTCTGGAGTGTCTCACCGGATGGTTTGCGGTAGTGTATGCAAGTTTTAACTACCTGCAAGATATCTAGTGCTTATTAGGGAATCAGCAGCACTAGGTGTCTCAAAACATTGTGGCCGAATTTTCGTTGATTAAATAATTAGATGCCTCGAGTTTGACAAAGTATATCTCTCATTCAATTTTTCATGGTTTAAGGTATGAAATGTATAGCAATGCCATATTTTCCTGTATAAAATTTTTGTCATGTTTACCAAACTTGAGTATTTTCAATCCAGAATAATCGAGTATGACTTTCAATTGATTGAGATTTTTAGTTGAGATAAAAAAGTCAATTGCACGAGCGGGATTCGAACCCACTATCTTCGGCTAGATATGCCGCTGCTCTACCATTTGAGCTATCATGACTTCGATCCATTCGGACACTAACTACTAACACCAAGACCCGAGGGGTTAAATGCCTGGGTAGACTCGTACCCCATCCCTAAAAGGCCCTAGACTTGGTCGGCTCACGTGTCCTGCATAAACCTCTTGGACCTGTTCACAAATCCCAAGATTTTGGACTATTTAATCTCGGGGATTGATTTGGTGATGTCCTCTCCTTCAAAAGTTTCAAATCTAGACCTAGCATACCTATCACACTCTGCGAGGTAGTGCCGAAATTAAGTATACCTTCACTAAAGCGCTCGTGGCCATTTCATGTCGTCGAGAATCAAATAGATTACAGGACATTTGAAAAATGGCAAAAAGGAGGGAAAATTCAAAAGGTGATTGAGATGGGAAGTTAGTGTCCGAGTGGATCTAGGTCACGATAGCTCAAGTAGTAGAGCAGCGGCGTATCTAGCCAAAGATCGTGGGTTCGAATCTCGCTCGTGACACTGACTTTTTTTTATCTCAACTAAAAACCTTAATTAATTGAAAGATATTAATTGGTCATGAAAACTAGTGAATTGAGTATAACTGTAATGAGCTGTGCTGGAAAGAGGTTGGAACAATGTCCTTTAGTGACGGTCGTTTATGCTTATGCTTCTTCAGCTCTTGGAAGCTATACAACCTCTTAAGTGTGTAGTAGTATGGAAAACATCTAAAGTACTGGGAAGAGACTTCATGCTTGAAGGTCAGCAGCCATAACCGCTCACAAACAAACGTGGACCTTCATTTCCATCCTTCCCGCGCGGCATCAGTGGTTGTTATATGGTTGATAGTTAACTTTCGTTTTTTTATATGATTTTTATTTAGCGGTTTATAAAATCTTATAATTATAAAGTTAGGCGTTAAATATTTCTCTGCTATCACTTTTTTTAATGGGCATTTTCTGGTCTAGTATTTTTGAAATTAGTCGTTTTCCTAATGCTGAAATGCTTCAGACATATAAGGAGATTGTTTTCCGATACTGTTGAAAATGGTTCACGCATTTACCATTTCTGCGCACTCCACATTCCTTACTAAGATTTTGATATTGCCAGGAGTTAAGAAAGAATGTACAGCGCCAGTAAAAGGGGCCCATAGCGATTTTTTCTCCGTTAAAAAGGACAATAATAGATCTATTTATCTAAGGCTGTAAGGGGAATGGTAGAGGCGAGGTTTTTATGGGGCGAGTCAGACGCAATTTGTGGCGAATCGAATAAAAAGGATTCGTGGACTCTTCGGTGTGCGGTTGAGGGTTGTTGTTTGTTCTGAGGAAGCGGGGGCGGTCGTCCTGGAGACGGGAGGCGTCCCCCACCAACAGGAAACCTTCCATTGCTCAAACTTACCTGGCGGACGATCGAGTTATTGCTGTTGAAATCAACCCCCTTTGTTGAAAATCAGCATGAATAAAGGCACAAAAAGTTCAAAGTAACTCCTATTTATAAAAGGGCAAATGTCTTGAAAAGAGATCCTGTCGGATAACTGTTATGAAATCCGGGACATGTAAATTCTAATAGAAAAAATGTTTTCTCTTTCTATTCTCTTTTGACAATTCTAGAAAACAAAATCGCCAATAATATATTTTGTTATAATAAATTAATTTAATAAATAAACAACCATTATCAATAAATAATTCGGGATAACACTGTTTCGTCCAGTTTCTTTAAGGAAATAAACTGCTCAAATATGAAGAGGGATATTGCCAATTTTTTAGTGCTTACTTTCCCTAGCATTTTTATTTTATTTTCATTACAAATTGAATTAAAATTTATTAGAAATTATTATATTTTTTACAGGAGGAAAATTTAATTAAGAGATTTTGAAAAATAAAAGGTTTTAATTCCTTAATTTTTTCATTGGACGTAATAATTTTTTTAAACAATTAATACCGGATATAATGTCCTCTGTTAGCTAAGTCCTCTGTGCACCTGTTAATAGGCATACTGACATTAAAATTCAGTACTTCATAAGAAATTTCTCTCCACAGATGTTGCAATGTTGCACTTAGTTGTTACAGGTCAACTGGCTGAGGATGGTGATCGAAAAGCCTTCTTTGTAAGGCATCCCACGTTTTCGCAATAGGATTGAGGTCTTAAGAAAAAGGGAGAAAAGAAGAGAAACGGGAAATTCCCAGGTTTTCTAAACATTG